TCTCTCTATTCACTTTCTCCATTCTATGGCCCCTCTTTGAGCTTATCAACACTGTCAGAGCTGCCTCAGGTCCCAGCTCACAGAGGACCAACGCCAGTCCGTTGTTATATGAAATAGTCTTTATTGAAGTTCATTTTCTCTTTTACGGCCACGGCGCGCAGCTCTACATCTTAAACCTTAGACCGCCGAAGCTCCGTCTGAGTCTCCTCCCCCCAGACACCAGTTTAAGACCCTAGCCTTGCTCCACCTCTTTCTCTGTTCCCTTCTCCTCTGGGTCCGCTTGTCCGCCGAGGTCTTGCCCTTCCTAGACTCTTCTGACGCTGAGTCCCCCGAGTCTTCCCCCTCCCTCCGGCGGGCTTTAGGACCTGGTTCCCAGTCCGGGCTTTCTGCTGTCCCGCGCGCCTGTACATTTGAACTTGGCACGCGCGCCCAGCCTGCCACTTTCCTTCTGACCGTTATACTGCTCCTGTCGCTGCTTCCCTCTTCGGGGACGCTAGCTGAGCCTGACTCCTCCTCCCTGCTTGCCGGAGGAGCTGACTCTGACCTATGGGGCTCTTCCCCCCCACTACGCTCTGGTGGGGAAGCTGGCCCTGATTTCCAGCTACTGCTTTGGGAGTCTCCGCTGGCCCCCTGCTTCTGGCGTGTCCCCCCTGGGACCCCCCTTGCCCTGGCCATCGGCGCCCCCTTCTGGGAATCTTCTGATTCACTGGAGAGGCTCATGGAATCTCTCGGGTCACTGTCATTCTGCCCTCCGCTGCCCTCAGATTCCTCCCCCTCGCTCTCCATTTCCTCTCTCCCCTGTGCCTCTGCTCCTGAGCCCCTGACAAACACGTATTTTTCGCTCTATAAGACGCACCAGACCATAAGACGCACCTAGTTTTTGGAGGAGGAAAACAAGAACAAAAAATATTCTGAATCCCATAAGCCAGGACAGCAAGCGGGATCGCTGTGCAGTGATCTCACTTGCTGTCCTGGCTTATGGGATAGCCGTGTACAGCCTTTCCCTGGCAGGGGGAGCCTTCATCCCCCTGCCCGGGAGGGGCTGCGCATGGCTAAGGCTCCCCCAAGAGTTGTGCTCCCTTTAAAGAGCGTGTGGAGCATGTTTGCGGCTCTTGGGAGCTCCCCCCCCCCAAAAAAGGGCAGACCTTCTTCCTCCTCAGGGAAAAGCCCCCAAGAGCCGCACACACGCTCCTCATGGGTCTTTAAAGGGAGCGCTGATCAGAGCCTCCCACCTGCATTCGCTCCATAAGATGCACACGCATTTCCCCTTACTTTTTAGGAGGGGAAAAGTGCGTCTACTAGAGCGAAAAATACGGTAATTTTCCTCTGCTCTTTCCAGGCACAGTCTGGTCTGCAATTTAAAGCTCCATGTCTGGGAGCCACTTTTTTTTTGTTTCAGGGCTTTCTGCCACCAATCTTTATTTCTGCCACCCTCAAATCATAGAGGGTGACCATGTGAGGGGGAACCCCCCCCCCCAAAACCCTCATACCCCTCTTTCCTGGTTTCTAGGTTTTAGAACATGGAGAGCCTCCACAGATACAAGAAATGCTCTGTTTCTCTCACACCACCAGTTGCAGGCAACAAAATGAAGATTGAGGGGAGCAGACCTAGCCTGTTTACCCTTGCTGGCTCCATTCAAGTGATTTCAATATCTGAAGAGGATTCTAGAATGCAGTCGGTTCCCCTCATGTGTCTAATCGTAACCATGAAAGGAATACCAATCACATTAATATTGATCAGGACTTCCCACATATTTATTTTATGCAGGAAGATTAATACAGTGGTACCTCGGGTTAAGTACTTAATTCGTTCCGGAGGTCCGTTCTTAACCTGAAACTGTTCTTAACCTGAAGCACCACTTTAGCTAATGGGGCCTCCCGCTGCTGCCACTGCGCCACCACAATTTCTGTTCTCATCCTGAAGCAAAGTTCTTAATCTGAGGTACTATTTCTGGGTTAGCGGAGTCTGTAACCTGAAGCGTATGTAACCCGAGGTACCACTGTAATAATAATAATAATAATAATAATAATAATAATAATAATAATATATTTATACCCCACCCATCTGGCTGAGTTTCCCCAGCCACTCTGGGTGGCTCCCAATCGAGTGTTAAAAACAATACAGCATTAAATATTAAAAACTTCCCTAAACAGGACTGCCTTCAGATGTCTTTTAAAAATAAGATCGCTGCTTATTTGCTTGACATCTGCTGGGAGGGCGTTCCACAGGGCAGGTGCCACTACCGAGAAGGCCCTCTGTCTGGTTCCCTGTAACCTCACTTCTTGCAATGAGGGAACCGCCAGAAGGCCCTCAGCGCTGGACCTCAGTGTCTGGACTGGACGATGGAGGTGGAGACGCTCCTTCAGGTATACAGGACCGAGGCCGTTTAGGGCTTTAAAGGTCAGCACTGTGCACTATGACAAGACTTAAACAATGGTTTGCTGTTCTAGAATTTCTGAAGGGTGAAGTGGCTCTCTTGAAAGTGAGGGAAGTTCCTCTCATGGTAGAGAATAAGAAAGCCAGTGAGAAAGGATGCAGGGAATGTACATGCCATGGGTTTTTTGTTTAAAAAAGAACCCAAAATATGCTTTCAAATGTCTTGACGCCCTTCTTCTCCAGCTACCCTTTCCTATCCCTCTCAGAGTTATTCTGGCCAGATTTCATATTCTTTTCCTTTAAACAAACAAACAAGCGAGCAAAAATGCTTTTTCCCTCAAGCACAATTCTGCTCTTCTGAACCAGTGTTTCGGTTTGGTTTTTTTGGTTTTTATTTTTTAAAAATGCAGAAGTCTGGAAAAGGACAAGGGGATATCCCATGCCACCCACTGAAGCAAACAAAAAGGACAGAGGGAATCTCCCACACCCATACAGAGTGAGTCTTTCAATCTGAAGCCAAAACCAGATTATTATTTTTGAAAGCTAACCTGATCTTCCTCTTCCACGAGAGACCATACGGAGAGACAGGGAAGTTGGATGCACATACATAAATGTCACTGTAGGCAGAAAGGGCCACTTCCAGGAAGTCTCTAGATATTTATACCGTATTTTTCGCTCTATAACACGCACCTGACCATAACACGCACATTGTTTTTAGAGGAGGAAAACAAGGAAAAAAATTCTGAATGAAACAGTGGATGTATCATTTTTGTGCTTCATGCTGTGGCCACAGACATGTGATCTGATGGTGAATTTGGGGTAGCTCAATGCAAAGATCCTGAGGATCCATGTGGATCCATGCTTTTTAACCACATTTTTGCACCATTGCAGCCCCAGGCGACAGTGGGTGTGTGATTTTTGGGGGGTAGGCTGCTATGTGATCTGATGGTGAATTTGGGGTGGCCCAATGCAAAGATCCTGAGGATCCATGTGGATCCATGCTTTTTAACCACGTTTTTGCACCATTGCAGCCCCAGGCAACAGTGGGTGTGTGATTTTTGGGGGGTAGGCTGCTATGTGATCTGATGGTGAATTTGGGGTGGCCCAATGCAAAGATCCTGAGGATCCATGTGGATCCATGCTTTTTAACCACGTTTTTGCACCATTGCAGCCCCAGGCAACAGTGGGTGTGTGATTTTTGGGGGGCAGGCTGCTATGTGATCTGATGGTGAATTTGGGGTGGCCCAATGCAAAGATCCTGAGGATCCATGTGGATCCATGCTTTGTAACTACATTTTAAGTGGGGAGTGAAGGAAAAACACAGAAGGGACAAGAGAGCGGTGTGCAAAGAAGCAGCTGGCTAAGAAAGCAGGAGAGGGATTTTACGGGAAGGAGGAAAGAAAGGCAAAAGTTTCCACAAACCGAAGCCAGCTTTCTCTCTCCTCCTGCATGTTTTCTGGCTGCCTGCGAGGAGCACGGAGAGGAATTAGAAGGAAAGACCTCTGCTTTCCCCTCTGCTTGCCTGGAGGGGAGGGGATTTGCCTGCTCTTTGTTCCGTTTGAGCAAACACAGCAACGAAACAGAGGAGGGTGGGCAGTAAGACCCTGAGGCAGAATGCAGGAAAGCAACCACTTCCTCTTTTCAGGTTTCCCTCTCCGACACAACGCACGATTGATTTTTGCTGATTTTTGTTCCTGCGCTCCCCTAATCGGCTCCAGGGACCCCCCCCCACATTCGCTCCATAACATGCACAGACATTTCCCCTTCCTTTTTAGGAGAAAAAATCTGCGTGTAATAGAGAGAAAAATACGGTAATTTCTGCAGAAACCAAAATCACAGTTGGCAGATACCCCAAATGCGCCCCAAAAAGTGTTTCCGGGGCAAAAGGAGCACAGTGATACCTCGGGTTACATATGCTTCAGGTTACATACGCTTCAGGTTACAGACTCCGCTAACGCAGAAATAGTACCTCAGGTTAAGAACTTTGCTTCAGGATGAGAACAGAAATCGGGCTCTAGTGGTGCAGCGGCAGCAGGAGGCCTCATTAGCTAAAGTGGTGCTTCAGGTTAAGAACAGTTTCAGGTTAAGAACGGACCTCCAGAACAAATTAAGTACTTAACCTGAGGTACCACTGAATTTGAAAAATGCTACTGGAAGGAATTTTTTTTGTTTTGAAAAATGAGCGATTTTTGTTCCCTAAAATGTCTGATAGGAACCCCACCTTCCACTTACCTGCAAGTCAAAAACGCTTCTCTGTCCATGGTCATGAACTCAGTTCCCACTGACGGCTGGCAGTATGAACAGGTAACGCTCCTGACTGGGGGAAGAATTGGGGCCAGCCTCCCTGCACCCTTCCCCTTCCCCCTCCATGGCAATATGTGTGGGTGATCAAACAGAAAGTTGTGTACACCCACTCAGGAAAGGACCAGGAGGGGAGTGGCTTCCCTCGAGGAAGTCCCAGCCCACCGAAGCAAGCGTAGAAACCTAGTGTGTAGGGGCCAGTTGGGTAAGATTGTGGTTTCCTCTCCAGGGATGTGGGCGTTCCACTCTCTCATGTACATAACTCGGGCCACAGAGAAGCAACAAGCCTATCTGCTCGGCAACACATCCCCCTCGTGCCACAACCATCCTGCTGCCAATCTACTGAGAGACAAGAGTTATGGAGGACAGAGTGGGCTGCCCATCTGTTTTTGTCGTGGACGTACCACAGAGGGATGTGCCCTTTGTGCCACCCGTGCGGAAGACCCAGAAGAAACGGCCGTATGGCCAGCTGCTGCTGGGAATCCTGGTGCTGCTGGCGTTGGCTGGTCTAGCCATAGAAGCTTATTTCCTTCTCTGCTTCCGCAAGGAACTGGACAAAGCCACATCACAGGTCATAGCAAGTGCACAGAGAGCAAGGGGCGATGGGGAGTGGGAAGAAGAACGTGGAGGGTGGCTCTGGGTGTGGATGTTGAATAGTGAGAACGAATAGAAGCTGCAAGGATGCCAGGACTTGTGCATTGAGGGGTTAGATGCACTTTGTTTGTTTGTTTCTCATTGGTTGAGATGCTAGAGAATTTTGTCTGGGTGACATTTTAAGCACTGACCTAATTCACCACCTCCTGGAGAAATATATGAATCAGAATGTAAATTATGCTTTGGATTTTTCACTTCTCTGAGTTTTGTGATATGGTTCTCAAATTCCATCTTTAAAAGACATGCCATTTAATCCAGAAATGAGATGGAACAGGCTTCTGAATAAACACATGGCAAAAATTGACACAGAGCAGAGTAATGTAAAGATCTCCTGTGAGGATCTTGTGTATGTAGAGTCAGCCCAGGTTTTATGTAGGGTTAGGAATCAGGATGTGGGACTAGATTATCCTTTGGTGTGATCCAGTATTGCTTTTCCGATGCTCTTTTGTTTGTGCAAATTATGTACTTAGAGTTCAGTGCAGTGTGTGTGTGTGTGTGTGTGTGTGTGTGTGTGTGTAAGAGAGGGAGAGAGAGGGGGGGGAGGATGCATGCTCAGGTACTATGGGTGCAATTAGGTTTTTCAGGAACAATTTCTATGAGACAATGCAAAAGTTAGCTTTTAAGATCTGAAATGCTTTGCATTGCACAGAACGTCAGGTAGCTATAGATACAGTATAAATAACCAGCTGAACCTCAGACCAGTTCATCTGAAGGATTTAGAGTTGAAAGTTGATTGTGGTTTCATTCAGGGACATGCAGCTGCTCTTAAAAATGAATTTCACTTTCTTCCAACTTACCAGACTAAATAGCATATGGACCGTCCTTCCTTTAACAATACCTTATGCAGAAAGACAAAGGGATCTCCTAACTTAGAAGGCGTGGGGATGTACATGGAGTGTGGAAACTAATAATTCTCTCACACTTCATCTGATGTGCTTGGATGCTCTGTGCCAAGAGAGAATGGCACAGATTTTATTGTGCTTATTTTGGTATACTAAATTCTCTGGAAACAGGGAAGCAACTAATACCTATTGCAGTAAGGAGGGATGTTGTAAATTGAGCTTTAAGAGTGCTCCCCACATGGAGACCTCGGGTGCAAAACTCTGAGCATTGCCAGAATTCTCTCTTCCCCTTGGGTGAGTGAGACTGGACTGTATTGTATTCACTAAAATAAATATACTAACAACGTCGTTAATTCATTATTTCCATCCTAGAAAGCATTATTTCCATCCTAGAAAGCTGCAACTTGCCCCTAGCTTCTAAGTGCATATAGACTGGATGCACATGAAGCAAAATTCCCATAGGTGCAGCTGGGGCCGTCCCTGCCATGAGGCAGAATGAGGTTGCTGCCTCAGGCGGTAGATACTGAGGCGCAGGGAATGAGCAGAACTTTGTATGACCCCCTAAGCTAGGCCACATTCACACCATACATTTAAAGCACTATGACACCACTTTGAGCAGTCATGGCTACCCCCAAGAATTCAGGGAGCTGAATTGTTAAGGGTGTTGAGACTTCTTAGGAGACCCACATCCCATCACAGAGCTACAATTCCCACTGTGATTTTAACCCTCATTCCCTCTTCACAGGGAACTCTGGGAATTCTAGCCGCAGGAGAGAATAGGGGTTTCCTAGCAGCTCTTAGCACCCTTCGCACGTCACAGCTCCCAGAATTATTTGAGGGAAGCCATAACTGTCCAAAGAGGTATGACAGCTCTTTAATGGTGGGCTGACGCCATCTTGTCGTTGGCCTCAGGCAGCGTAATTTCTTCAAGATGATCCATCTGTGGTTTCTGCTCTTTTTCATGCCAAATATGTTTTCCAGGAAGGATGTCTGCAATATCTGAAGTGGCCCTACATTCATATATGTTGATATTACAGACTTTTCACAGAAACTGAAGAACGGCCATTCCCGAATTATTATTTTTTTAATAGATTCCGGGTGTATGTTAGAGAAGCAGTGGGAGAAGGTAGGAAGATGTGAGGTCCAAACTGTGATTCATCCGCTTACTATGTCTATCTAGCATTGGTTTCCCGTATACTGATGAAAAACAAATAATTCTGTGAGAAATATTTCAGAGATGGGACCTCTGTCAGCACTATAGTTGTTCAGACGTGAGTGGAATGCTTTTTCAGACAGCTTGACTGGAAATTGACTTCTGGATTTTATTTTTTCCTTTTTTAAAGGGATCTGCAGATGCAACTTTTGAGAAATTTGTACAAGGTAAGTTTGTCTTGCCCTTTATCTAGAGCCTTTTGGTGCTCCTGAGGCATTGCTTTTCTGCAGTTAGCTAGAAGTGGAATTAAAAGTTTCACACAGTATATTAACGTAGCGGCATATTATCCAGCAAATCCCTTCCCCATAATGATACAATAGTGTCTTCTCACAAGTAGATATGAGATCAGCAACTAATTCTGTCCCATTTCAGTCAAACTGGCACTCAAACATATGTCTATTCTATCTCATTTTGAACTGATTTTTTAAAAATGCACAATAAGTGTGCAATTATATTGTACACTTTTTCGATACACTTTTTACACAAAACACTACTTCTCAAACATAAAACATGCAGTTCTCAAAATTAAGATATACACCTCTCAAAATGTGTACTTCTAAATGCTTTGCAAAGCACTCGTTCATAAAATATGCAGCTTAAATATAAAACATGTATCTTGTTTGTGCTTTTCCAAACTGAAACCACATTGCAAAATCTGAGGAAGTCTTTAATTCAACTGGGAGTTGCATTCCACAGGCAACATTATTGAGTCAGGATGGTGTGCTGTGAAAAGTGGACCAAATACGCTCCTCCCTCAACCCTGCTCACAAGTAATTTCCATGCAACAAAATTAATTTCCAATGCTAATTTGCGAGTGTAGCCCATTTTATTGTATCTCTGCTTAGTGAGGCAGAGAAAAGAATGCTGAATTGTCCCTTATCTGATTTTGTTCAGATTCAGATTTGCAGTGTGTGCGATTCAGATTCAGATTACCAGTTTCTTTCCATTATTTCCTTCCTTCCTTTCTCTTTTAGTGTGATTTTGCAACAAAAAGAAACTAAATAAGATCCAACTGACCTTGTTCACCAGCAGTTCACTAGGGTAGCAAAACAACAACCTGTGGGTACCTACTAACATTCCCTCTCCCCTCAGTCACTACTGTACTTTCTTTGATTATGCTATTTCACCCAGTGCCCGATTTACATATAAGCTAAACAAGTTATAGCTTACGGCCCCACTCTCTTGGGCCCCCCCAAAAAATATCCTTCTTCTTAATTGTGTTTCACTATTAATATACTTCTTCTTAATTGAATTTCAGTTCAACAATTACTTTGATAAAATACATATTTTTTATGTGCAAATGACTTTAGGTACCTATTTGATTCATAAATGACCATATAGCATATATTCAACACAAGAAACAGCGGCAATTTGTTGTTGACAAAGGACAGCTGGACATATAAAGGGCCCCATTACCTTCAGTAGCTTAGGGCCTCATCCAACCTAAATCCGGCCCTGATTTTACCCCTTCCATACTATAAGGGAATGTTGCATAACCCATTTGTGGAATTAATTACAATAGCTTAATTATAGCCACAGATAAATGTAGTGTTGGTGTGTGTATCAAGGTCTGTAAATCAAAGATGAAGGAAACATTGAAACTTGGAAGTGTCCGCAGGTACCTCATTCCCTGCTTTCGACTAACTGAAACCACAATACACATTTAATCCCAGCTATAAATAGTGTTGGATTTTAAAACTGTTGTGTGGTCATGCAGAGGTTGCTCTCACATGAAGAAATGTAAGATTCAGATTTGTTTATTTGAACCTGATCATCAGACTATCATAAAGTAAGACTTTGACAGTGTTCCAGCTCACATTAGAGGGCCACAAGTCCAAATGAAATCACATGCAACCTAAACAAATGTCAAGGACGCGGGTGGCGCTGTGGTCTAAACCACAGAGCCTAGGGCTTGCCGATCAAAAGGTCAGCTGTTCGAATCCCCGCAATGGGGTGAGCTCCCATTGCTCGGTCCCTGCTCCTGCCAACCTAGCAGTTCGAAAGCGCGTCAAAGTGCAAGTAGATAAATAGGTACCACTCCGGCGGGAAGGTAAACGGCGTTTCCGTGCACTGCTCTGGTTTGCAAGAAGCGGCTTAGTCATGCTGGCCACATGACCCAGAAGCTGTATGCCGGCTCCCTCGGTCAATAAAGCGAGATGAGCACTGCAACTCCAGAGTCAGTCACGACTGGACCTAACGGTCAGGGGTCCCTTTACCTTTAAACAAATGTCAAACATTGAATTTCCCTGGCAAATCACAACCTTCCCCTTTAAAAATCTGGACCCTAACATATGTTAAAATAAATAAAATGTACACAAACCTAAATAAAACAATAGGTAAAGGTAAAGGTACCCCTGCCCGTACGGGCCAGTCTTGCCAGACTCTAGGGTTGTGCGCTCATCTCACTCTATAGGCCGGGGGCCAGCGCTGTCCGCAGACACTTCCGGGTCACGTGGCCAGCGTGACATCGCTGCATCTGGCAAGCCAGCGCAGCACACGGAAACGCCGTTTACCTTCCCGCTAGTAAGCGGTCCCTATTTATCTACTTGCACCCGGAGGTGCTTTTGAACTGCTAGGTTGGCAGGCGCTGGGACTGAACGATGGGAGCTCACCCCGCCGCGAGGATTCGAACTGCCGACCATGCGATCGGCAAGTCCTAGGCGCTGAGGTTTTACCCACAGCGCCACCCGCGTCCCTAAATAAAACAATAAATAACCTGAATAAATTAAAAGTGTGAGGTAGCTTCCTTAGTGATAGGTTGTGGGCCCTTCGATAAAGCACCTGGGCATTTGTGGGGGTCTTTCCCCTTGGCTGTTTTGTGTGCCAAGGCCCCGTGCCCTGCAGTTCTCCATTCATTAATAACACAGAGACACCAGTATTTAGGATTATGGGCTAAAACAGGCCACCACTTTATTGGTTACACATGCACTTGGTTTAGCTTAGGCATTGGGTGAAACCAGGCAACATCTTGACTCCTGTAGGGAGTGGAACTAAGGGTAAATCACCAGAAGGGGGAGCCCTATGACCTACATCAAATAGGGGCACCCCAGGGATCCCCATTGGCGTTGTGGACAGGATCCACACCCCCAGATCCCTTTAACAGGATACCCTTTTCGAGGAGGGGCAGGCGGAGGCTACAACCTCCCTTCCATTAAACAAAGGCCTAACCCAATGCCTAACCTTACAAAGTTGTGAGGATTGCTACAAGGTAGGCGAAAACCAAATGGCAGGTGCCAGTTCGCCAAGTGGAAAAATTCCTACCCAGCCCCAACAATAAGGCGGCCGACATTTCTCCATAGCGAGGTCGTGTCAAACCAAAGCTTAAAAAGAGGGTGGATGGGTTGGGAGGTCTGACAAAGAGGTGAGAGATTGGAAGCCCCTGGCTGCCCATGGTTTAAAACACCTGCGGCCACGCCCCCCGCTGGCATAGGTTGGCTGGGTAGGGGTGACGCAGCTGGAGTTGGTGCAATGGGGCATCAATCGCCCACCCCTGAGTTGGATCATGGCCAGGGCCAAAGGCCTGGCCGCAACACCACCCACCACGAAAGGTGAGCAGTCCTCTTAAGCAGGGCAATCCTTCATCCCATGGGCAAAGCAAAGCTCAACAAGGATTCTGATTGGCCCATGAGGTCAAAAACCCCAAGACATCTGCCCTACACCTGCCCTACACTTTGGGAGTTCCCAAGTGGAACCAATATCTTCTGCCATCCGCTCAGTTCAGCTGCATTTGGTAGTTTTGAGTACAGTATAACCTTTCCCTCATGGGACGTGGGTGGCGCTGTGGGTTAAACCACAGAGCCTAGGACTTGCCGATCAGAAGGTTGGCGGTTCGAATCCCCGCAACAGGGTGAGCTCCTGTTGCTCAGTCCCTGCTCCTGCCAACCTAGCAGTTCGAAAGCACGTCAAAGTGCAAGTAGATAAATAGGTACCACTCCGGCTGGGAAGGTAAACGGCGTTTCCGTGTGCTGCTCTGGTTCGCCAGAAGCGGCTCAGTCATGCTGGCCACATGACCCAGAAGTAGTACACCGGCTCCCTCGGCCAATAAAGCGAAATGAGCACCGCAACCCCAGAGTCGGCCACGACTGGACCTAATGGTCAGGGGTCCCTTTACCTTTACCTTAGCCTTTCCCTCCTGAAGGTAAAGCTTTTAGTCAGTGCTGATGAAAGCCCCACTTTCAGCAGGCCTCTCTCTTTACTGCCTGGCTTGAGTTCAAAGCAAAGGTTGCTGGCCTTGCCTGGCCTGCCTAAAGCCAGAGGCAAGCACAGGCTGAGGAACAGGATCTGACTGGTGGGCTGGATCCTGAACTCCCAACACCACCATGGGGCAGTTTATGGGTAGGGCCACTGACTTATCCATCACCTGATGTCACCTCAATGCCAGGTAACTCAACTTCAAAGGAAAGAGTCATTTCTTCCTTTGCAGGTGTGGCAATATCCATCGAGGTGTTGGAGGATAGAACTGTAAATGCTACACAGTCTCTTCTAGACACTCCAAGGTGTGGAGGAAGATGCTATATTATCACAAGTGTAGAAGAAAGATTCAACCACCACTCTGTCTGTGGAATGGAGCAGGTGCCATCTTGTTGTTTGCCTCAAGCAGCAAGATGACTTGGGTTGGCCCCGAGTACAGAAGCCCCACTGGGTAGGGGGCTATATAGAACTCTTCTTGAGAGTGAAGACATCTGATGATCAGAGCCAACTGGGGCAAAGTGGGCGACTTCCAAATTCCATGGGGCTCACTTCTGGAGGAGGTGCATAGGAGAAGCTTAGCTTAGCATCTCCTCAAGTGTTCCACTGAGAACCTTCCGATATCTACTGGCTGCCTACACCATTGCCCCAGTTGCGCAAGGGAAGAACGTAAACAAGTGAAAATAAGAAAATAGTATATTTGGTGTGCACACACCATACATACATTTAAAGACTCCTGGGAGCTGAAGTTTACCCTTTACAGAGCCACCATTCCCAGCACTCCTAACAAACAACAGGATTTGTTGCAGGGGGGCAGGCAATGCTTTAAGTGTGCTTTAAATGTATGGTGTATATATGACGCTGAAATAGACTCAGAGTCGAGAGTGGATTTCATGCTCTTTATTCAGCTCATAGTGGTGAGGAGGAATTGAAGTTCCCACAGAATGTCTGCTTTACAGTGGTGCCCCGCAAGACGAATGCCTCGCAAGACGAAAAACTCGCTAGACGAAAGGGTTTTCCATTTTTTGAGTCGTTCCGCAAGACGAATTTCCCTATGGGCTTGCTTTGCAAGACGAAACGTCTTGCGAGTTCTTGCGAGTTTGTTTCCTTTTTCTTAAAGCCGCTAAGCCGCTAATAGCCGTGCTTCGCAAGACGAAAAAACCGCAAGACGAAGAGACTCGCGGAACGGATTAATTTCGTCTTGCGAGGCACCACTGTATATACATTATTTACACAATGGGCCCTAAGTGATTGGCTAATTCCATGATTCTCCTGCAGGCCAATCAGGTTGCGGATTCGCTTCTACCTGGAGCTGGATTGGGTGGCTCCTGTGGACCAATCAGACTGCTGCGTTCTGGGTCCTATTGTTCTAGGACCAATCAGACTGCTGCATTCTGAATCCTATTGTTCTCAGTACATAACAGAAGCCCTAGTCAATTCTGGATGATGTAACGTGCTATTACAATGCTTCTCACTCCCTCAGAAGATGGCGGGCTCTCCTTCCTCAGAGGTTTTTAAGCAGAGGTTGGATGGCCATCTGTCATGGATGCTTTAGCTGAGATTTCTGCATTGCCGGGGGTTGGACTAGACGGGCTGGATGGGTCCCGTGCAATTCTACGATTCTATGATTAGACACAAGGGAGTAGCAACGTTTTGTTCCTCTAAAAAAAACACCCCCCAAAACCTTGGACTGTTCCTTTTAATGACGCCTACACCACCCTCCATTCCCCACCCCCTCAGACTACACATCATTTCCTCTGGTTACATGCTGCATCAACCCTTCCGTGTGGTAAGGAAATATTGCACAATGCATTAGTAGAATTAATCGCCATCGCCTATAGGCACAGAGGAATCTTGTGGGTCCGTGGCTCTAGGTGCGTGTGGATGTCTATATATCAAATGAAAACCAGGAAATGTCTTTTAGAATGAAAACCGCACCAGCTAACACTTTAGAGCAAGAAAGCACACAATTAATCTCAACTGTAAATAGCACAGAGCTGTGCTGAGTATCCATCTTTTTCACCGCGTGATCATGCCTGAGATGTGGCTGTGTGAGGGAACCTTTTCGGATGACAGATGGTGTGTTACTTCCCTTAAGAGCAGCAGAATGGATGTGACAGACAAGGTCTGATTCCAAGAAACGCAAGCCACTGGGAAATTTTCTGCACATGTCCCACTGAAGTTCTACAAATAATTTCTCCCTCTCTCTCTCTCTCTCTCCCCCCGACACACACACAACAATTGCACATATAAAACAACCACACATAAAACAATTAAAAAGAACGAAAAGGAATTCCAAATATAAAAACAGTTTCAAAGCCAATAGCCAATTCAGATACCCAGGGTTGACGCAAAGCATTTTGCTGCCTGAGGCGAAGAATGTTTCCCTGGCACATACAGAAGCCAACTGGACTGGTAGTTGAATCTTAGTCCAATACTTGTGTAAGGATAGCATCCTTCACAGCACTTGAGGGCTAGAGTACTGGGCCGGCCACATGGCACTCACAGTTTGGCCCCTCCCTGCACCTTGGCATGTGCCACCTGAGGCAACTGCCTCATCATAGGGCCGGCCCTGCAGATACCAATTGGGGTAACAATCTCTACTTCAAAGGCTTGTTGAACGAGGAACGTCTTCACCAAGCATCTAAGAGGCAATAGAAGTTAAGGCTTGTCTGCTATATAATGGGAAGCACTTCCCCCTCCAGACTCTCCATGCCCGGAAGCTACCATGCCTTTGTTTTTCTGCCATTTGGCCACCCAGGGCATGTCACATGGCACAAGGGGCAGAGAACCCTCTCCAAACTCCCATGTCCCTGCTGGCAGAACTGGGTCTGGACTGGAGGGAGGGAAAGACTAAGTGGGCAAGTGAAATGGTGAGCAGCAAGGGAGTGGCTGCAGAAAGCGGGATATCAAATAATAAATAATAATAATAATAATAATAATAATTTATTTATCTCCCGCCCTCCCCAGCCAAAGCCGGGCTCAGAGCGGCTAACAACATCCAAACTCTTCTTCTTCTTCTCCTCTTTCTTCTCAGGGAGGTCAAATATGTTCTTGCTCTCACGCTACACACCCCTGGTTCATTGTGGGCTACAGGGAAGCACAACAGCTTGAGATGGTGACAATAATTAAATAAAATGTTACCTTTTTAATGATGTGATAATCTTTTAATTTTTTTGTGCCGCACGTATCTAGTTTCTGTGATGAGAAAAGTAGGGTCCTGGTGCCTGTATCAGTTACATAAACTGGGCAAATGTGCATAGGTTTTCTTGTGTCGCAGAATCTATTCTGCTATGTTCACTCTTTTGTGTTATTTATTCTGGCTTTGCTATAGAGAAGAACAAAAAGTCATGCAAGATACCGAAGCCTCCAGCAACCTTTTAGGGTTCTGAGATTTTAGCCAGCGCTGCCCACACACTTTCCAACATTTCTTTGCATCCCTAAGCGCTCTATGTGGGGCTACCTTTGAAGGTGACCCGGAAACTACAACTAATCCAGAATGCGGCAGCTAGACTGATGACTGGGGGCAGCCGCCAAGACCACCTAACACCGGTCTTGAAAGACCTACATTGGTTCCGAGTACATTTCCAAGCGCAATTCAAAGTGTTGGTGCTGACCTTTAAAGCCCTAAACGGCCTCGGAGCGTCTCCACCCCCATCATTCTGCCCGGACACTACAAGTTACAGGGAACCAAGTAGAGGGCCTTCTTGGTAGTGGCGTCCATCCTGTGGAACGCCCTCCCAACAGATGTCAAAGAGAAAAACAACTCTCAGACTTTTAGAAGACATCTGAAGGCAGCCCTGTTTAGGGAAGCTTTTAATGTTTGACAGACTATTGTATTTTAATACTTGTTTGGAAGCCGCCCAGAGTGGCTGGGGAAACCCATCCAGATAAATCCCCATCAAAGGATCATCTGAGATTCTTTGCACCCAGCAGTACATTTCTATACTTGTTCCTCACTCCCACAGAATTGCAGCACTTACAAATCCCTGATCACGGTTACCTGCTGCTCAGAGAAGTTGCTTCACAAGTGTCTCTGCTGCGCACAGCTGCCTGCAGGCAAAAGGAACCAGCAAAACTCATTTTTGCCTTATTCATTTCCACAGGTCACAAACCTACCCTTGAAAAGCCAGCTGCTCATCTGACACTAGGTAAGAAAACTCTCTAAGTGGATTACAATTATACCATTTGCCAAGCTTTTCCAAGAGGCTGAGTGCTGTGGGCACGATCCAGAACCAGTTGACCGGAGGGGTGCAGGGTGTAAAAGTTTAGAGTAGCTAACCTTGCAGCCAGGCCACCTGGAGCCTATAGTCAGGCTTGTGAGGTATATAAGATGGATATATAAGATGGTGGATGAGAGCCATATAAGGTGGATATATAAGATGGTGGATCAGAACCGATGGCCAGCAGGGCAGTGGGAGAGTAGACACTGGCTTTGGGCAAGCGGGGCAGATTAGGGATCCTGTTGATGTACTGCCCACCTCGCTGCCCAGCAGTCTTCCTGCCCGAGCTGGCAGACGTGGCATTGAGATTCTCCTGGAGATTTCCCTGTCAATGCCATTGATCCTGATTCCAAGGCAGCTCAGGACTTCATGGCCTGCAAGGCAGCCAGGAGAAGGGAACCTGGGCTGTATCATGGTCCTACTCTTTCTTAAACCTTGCCCCCCCCCCCCCAGCTAGAAGGTATCCAGGAAGGCGAGGTGGATGAGTATTCAAACCATAATTTTAGTTACAGATAGGTAGCCGTGCTGGTCTGCCATAGTCAAAACAAAAAAATCCTTCCAGTAGCACCTTAAAGACAACTAAGTTAGTTCTTGGTATGAGCTTTCGTGTGCATGCACACTTCTTCAGATAAGTGTGCATGCACACGAAAGCTCATACCAAGAACTAACTTAGTTCATAATTTTTAGGTTTTGATTTAGGGGTGGATGAGACTGCCTCTTTCAGTTTCTCTCGGTTTTGCATTTGTCTAGTCTTACATTTGGTCTGCCCCATAGCAGAAACTTTCTGCAATTTTAAAATAAATGTCCCATGTGAATTTGTTACATCCTCATGTGCATTTCTTTTCATGTATGCATTTTTTCATGAAATTTTGTCTAGTATATGCATTTTTGCAAGTAACACGCGCCCCGCTCCCTGGAGAATGCACTGTTGTATATTATTTTCAACAATATGTGCATTCTTGTGCGCCCTCTTCACAAATATATGCATCTTGCGTTTACTCTGGAGAGCTGCATTGCAAAATCTGGGTAAATTTTGAAGGAGAGCTGTGTTTGCTTCGCTTCTTTGCTTGGAAAGTGTGGACTTGACAGGTTTGCATTAAAACATGAACCAAATGAAGTTCTCCCCCAGGCCTAGTTTGATCTCATTATCATTTCACTGTTGAAAGGGACAGGATCTATTTGTTTACCCTGACCTCCACCACAAATGAAGATACGGGGTGTTGTGTTTTGCAGGTTCCTCTGTCACTGTGGCTCCGAATGGATCTCTGCAGTGGGAACCCACAAATGGCTTGGCCTTCCTACAGGACATGAACTACAGTGGTGGTTCCCTGATTTGCAGCAAGCCTGGACACTATTACATCTATTCCAAGCTCTACTTGGGGCATTCAAACTGCCCAGACATGCAGCAGAACAGCCAGTTTGTCACTCATTCCGTTTACAAGAGGACTTCTCAGTATCCTGATCACATGGTGCTGTTAACCAACAGCATTCCTTACTGCAACTGGAAGAACAGCAAAGATTGGAGGCATAATAGCTTCCTCGCTGGAATGGTGCAGCTGGAGGAGAAGGACGAGGTGTTCATCAAGGTGTCTCAGCAGCAGCTGGTGTGGGTCAAGGATGATTCAAGATCATATTTTGGAGCCTTCATGATCTGAGAGCTCTTAGAGCTGTGTACAGACAATTGAATCTGTGGAACAACCAGATGGCTTCCTTCTTATATTGCTGTGGCAGAATTAGCCTCAATTCTGCTTCAATAGCTTGATAACTTCTCAAATATTATGAAGGTGAAGGGGAGCCTTACTGGGGAGCTGGGTCCACCTTGCTGAAGGGAAGAGGCCTGTTCACTCCTTTTGGATAGAAAAAGATGGTCCCTTGTGCTGGATAACAGCACACTGACCAAACGTTTGAAAACATTTTGGTGGTGGGCAGGGGGGGTTGCTGGGACACTGCTGTGAGAGGGAGGGTAGTTTTGTACTTATCCGCTTTTGTGCATAAGCCCTCAGACTTCCCCAGACTGCCAAAAGATAAGAAGAAAAACAAGAGTGTTATTTGTCACCATAGGCACTAGCCAACAGGTGCCCACGACTGCCATACCAGAAATATGTTGGAGCAGTGCTGGTTGTTTTTCCAGGGCTAGTTTTGCCTTTTCCTGGTTACACATTAAAATTCTACAAAAATCCACTTTGACCAGGAACTATGGTGGGACACAGAATATGAAAATGTAAGGTGCCACCTCAGAGTCTCTACAAATTGGACATCTTTGTACATAGCCTCAGCACTGGCGACAGAATAGGATGGTTTTATTTTTATTTTCTTTGCTTGCCACTGAACGCATATGTCTTAAATGGGATTCCTAGCACAATCCAGGACGCTGCTTTGCAATTTCAGCTTGTTGCTCAGCTAAGGAAGATCCTGTGCTGGAGACCATATTTGACCTCTGAGGTAAAAAGTGAAGCCTTCTTGCTAAGACGTGAGATCCATAGTCAGCTATCAAGACACCGCATTGTGATCTCTTGGAGAACCAAAAAACAATCTGACCCTTCTGTGCTTTGCGCCTTTATACCTTGTTTATTTTCAGCGTTTCCTCCCGCAACCAACCTCCTTCTCCAAGTATCCCAGAAGGGATTGTGCATATTACTATTATTATTATCACTTTATGAACTCTCCTCCATGTGCAAGTATCTGCTTTTCCTAAAAGATACAACTGTAGAATGAGATTTGACAATGGGATGGTGTCAGTAAGGGCAACTGAGGCTTTGGGCATTGCTTCCAAGATTAGTTATTCCTGCCAATCAGGGGTCAATCAAGCAGTGAGAAGAGCAATCTCACAAGACAGTACAAAGTAAACAACAAGATTTGTCTGTGTGAAGTCACTGAGGGCAAGAGAAGGCAACATTCATGAATGGGTCACCGTTTTCGTAGGAAGTGCTGAAAAATCCTAGTGAAACGGAGGCAGTGTGTCATGGCTAAAAATACTCATTAAAAACTGCCCTACTAATAGAACATATGAAATGAAATTAAAATATCTGCCAACAAATGGTCTGTTTGCCCATGTGTTTGGGATAGGAAGGGAATTGACAAAGGAAATGCCCTTTGCTATACTGGGAGAGAATGTTTTTCTTTTCTGAGGAAAAGTAATTGCGTTGATACTGGAGAATTTCTGAGCCAGATGAAACATAAGCCTCGGACAACTCACAAACAATTTTAATGGGGTTACTTTGCATGTTAACTCAGAAGATACGGTAACTCCCACTGACTTCAATGAAGACTTCATTTTCAACAACGTTTTATATCTTGTTTTTCCTCCATAAAGTTTTATTCTCATAAAGTTAGGCTGAGATACAGTGGTACCTTGGGTTAAGTACTTAATTCGTTCCGGAGGTCCGTACTTAACCTGAAACTGTTCTTAACCTGAAGCACCACTTTAGCTAATGGGGCCTGCTGCGGCTGCCGTGCCGCCGGAGCACGATTTCTCTTCTCATCCTGAAGCAAAGTTCTTAACCTGAAGCACTATTTCTGGGTTAGCGGAGTCTGTAACCTGAAGCATATGTAACCTGAAGCGTATGTAACCCGAGGTACCACTGTATAGTGACTGACTCAAAGTCACCCGGTGAGATTCCTGATTGAGTAGAGTAGGCATGGGCAAACTTGGCCCCTCCAGATGTTTTGAGACTACAACCCCCATCATCCCTGACCACTGGTCCTGTTAGCTAGGGATGATGGGAGTTGTAGTCCCCAAACATCTGGAGGGCCGAGTTTGCCCATGCCTGGAGTAGAGATTTGAACCTGTGATCCACGCTAACCACAATACCACAATGGATTTCCCAGTAAGAGTACCTCATTATAGTCTGCCTGGTACTGTTATCTCACCCACCTCTGAACATACCTGCCACATGTTCCACTGCCATTTGCATTTGAAAGCTAGGTCTCTATGTGTGGGTACAAAAGCCTTGCCTCGCAGGGTCACTACTCTGGTGTGGAAGTTTCTGCCTAATCAGAATAGCTATGATATAACAGCAATAGCAACAACAACAATGAGCATGGTGTAGTGGTTAAGAGCGGTGGACTCGTAATCTGGTGAGCTGGGTTCACTTCCCCACTCCTCCACATGCAGCTGCTGGGTGACCTTGGGCTAGTCACACTTCTCTGAAGTCTCTCAGCCTCACTCACCTCACAGAGTGTTTGTTGTGGGAGAGGAAGGGAAAGGAGATTGTTAGCCGCTTTGAGACTCCTTAAGAGGAGTGAAAGGCGGGATATCAAGTCCAAACTCTTCTTCTTCAATTGGGTACCTACTTACAATTTTACACATTATGTTCCACCTCTCCAGATGCAAGTGCTTCCAACACAGCTTAAATGCCATAATAATGTAGCAATAAACAATATCAAAAACATAGCAAGCCATTGGGAACCTTCCTACAGGACAGGTTTTGTCAGAGGGGGACATTTAAGCCGACAGAGAGACCCCAATGTCTTCTTTGCCTGCCTCCCCCCCTCTCTTGGAATCGTTCCTGTTATGTACTGAAGTTCTCATCCTGGGCCAGCAGGGGGATACTGTAGATAGTTATGCAAATAAGGGATCGAAAGTGACATTCAGTGATTGGATAGTTTTAGAAAATTGTTACAGTTACATTGTACTGGAGCTCTATATAAGCAGGCTGACTGAACCCTTCAGTTCAGTTCTGTCCTGGCCTGTGAATAAACAAGAGCTGTTTGAAGAATCGCTGTGTCGTCTGATATGTTCACCCACAACTTAACAGTTCCCACAGGGACCATTGGTGGTAAATGGCCGTGTGAGAGGAGAAGCGGTCCAGCTGGAATAGGAACAGGTTCTCAGCATTGACCCCCCACCTGCCTTCCTCTCTGTCTCCTGGAAATCTTCCCACAAGGCAGCGAGTGGTAGGTGGCTCCTGGGGGTAGGAAGGTAGAACAAGGGTTCTGGTCCAAAACAAGAGGATTTACAAGCCCTGTCAGTTGATGAAAAGATAGGCAAGGTCAGGGAGAACAAGTTGCATGGAGAGGAGGGTCCAGGGTGGAAGATGGAGCACATTTTGAATGTTGTACCACACCCAACTGCAGCTTGGTCCGGGTGGCTGGTTTGTCTCCAACTGGGAGAGGGAGTGCCGGATTTATGTATAAGCTAAACAACCTACAGTGGTACCTCGAGTTACAGGCGCTTCAGGTTACAGACGCTTCAGGTTACAGACTCCGCTAACCCAGAAATAGTACCTCGGGTTAAGAACTTTGCTTCAAGATGAGAACAGAAATTGTGCGGCGACTGCGCGCCGGCAGTGGGAGGCACCATTAGCTAAAGTGGTACCCCAGGTTAAGAACAGTTTCAGGTTAAGTACCTGAATGAATTAAGTTCTTAACCCGAGGTACCACTGTATAGCTTAGGGCCCCATTTTCTTGGGGCCTCAAAAAAATTCAAAGGGAAAAAAATGTACATTTCCAAAATATAAGATAAAAAACAAATAAATTGTATTTCAGTTCAACAATTACTTTGGTAAAATACATATTTAGTTATGTGTAAATGGCTTTAGATACATATTAGGTCCATAAATTACCATAGAGCATATATCCAACACAAAAAATGGTGGCAATTTGTTGTTGACAAAGGAGAGCTGGACATATAAAGGGCCCCATTACCTTCAGTAGCCTAGGGCCTCATCAAACCGAAATCCGGCCCTGGAGAGGCCTCATTAATGAAAGACACCTTGCCTGACTCCTGTGGCAGAGCAGGTTAGGGGAACTGCTTCTACTGAATCTTATGGGTGGAAGTCTGAAGAACTGCTGGCAAAAAGAGTTCCTGCGCTGGAGCCTCAAAGTCCAAGCCCTGATGGTTTTTTAGCATGTCTTCCTTGCTGGCAAAGCTCCCCAGATGTAGTTGCTTCCCCTCCACCCTCTTTCCCCTTGAGTGTGTCTCCACCCAGACCACACTGGATTTTCTCAAGAGAAAGTGGATGCCCTGCATTGGGTCCCCCTGAGTGTGGGATTTGACATCTTTCCGCAGGGCCTGCAAGACAGAGCTGTTCTGCCAGGATGCAGTCTGACTTACTTTCCTTTGTATAAAACGAGCCCAAAGGAGGCTCCCAACCCGCTCACAGGTCCTTGTACAATCAGTGGAAACAGTTGGCCCTGGCAAGTATTAACCACTCTCAATTCCAACCTGATAATTGCCAGCTGCCGAGATTTTAACTTGTTTGAATTAATTTTAAGATGTATTTTAATTAATTGATGTCTGGTTTTGTGCATATTGTGTTGTTTTTATGTTAGCTGCTCTGAGCCTGGACTTGACCGGGGAGGGCGGGATACAAATAAAATATTATTATTATTATTATTATTATTATTATTATTATTATTATTAGCAGTGCCATAAAGCGCACACACACCTCTTGCCTTTTCTTCTCTTGAAGCAGGTGAGGAGGGCTAGGATTGTCATTTCAGCCCTGCATGGCCATTTTCTCTGGGCACCTCACCTGCATAGTTGCCAGATAACCCCCAACCTTCTCCCATCTGGGGAATTAGGGAGGTGGCAGGGTCGGACCGCCGTGCAAATATGCGGGGGAGCTCTGCCCACTTCTGTGTCTTCAAAGTCAGAAAGAAGACTATCTGTTCGTCACAGTTGCCAGAGGGCGGCACCACACTTGCCGTGCCATACGATGTGATTGAAGCCTAGCCATGATGCTTGCAGCAGCTACAGGTGAGCAGAGAGCTGCCCGAATGCCTCATATTCCAAGAGAAACAGCAAACTGTTCAGACAGTGGCTTCCATTGCTTGCACTACTCAAGAGGTGCGGAGGGTGGCAACACAAGAACAGGGCCTTCTCTGCAGTGGCTCCCCGTCTGTGGAATGCTCTCCACAGTGAAGTTCGCCTGGTGCCTTCATTATACACCTTTAGGCGCCAGGCAAAAACGTTCCTTTTTAACCAGGCCTTTGGTTGGTCTGATTAACATCCTATGCCCTTTTAAAATGTGGCTCTTTTGGGGCAGGGGTGTTATTGGGTTATTGTTTAGATAGATATAGATAGATAGATAGATAGATAGATAGATAGATAGATGATAGATAGATGATAGATAGATAGATAGATAGATAGATAGATAGATAGATAGATGATAGATAGATAGACAGACAGATAGATATAGATAATTTATTATGGTCGGAGACCAGCTTATAAAACACACTTGGGGGTACAATCCCAGAAGGAAAGCAAACATTTAAAACAATGTACAACAATAAATTTACAGTGGTGCCTCGCAAGACGAAATTAATTCGTTCCGCGAGTTTTGTCGTCTTGCGATTTTTTCCGTCTTGCGAAGCACAGTGTCAGGAAAGTTTTGGAAAAGCTTCAAAAATCACCAAAGTCTTTAAAAACCTCAAAAAAGGCTACCACGCCGCGTTCTATGAGTTGCTCCTCGAAGTCAAGTCGCAACTGTATTGACGGTGTTAAGAAAAAGGAAACAAACTTGCAAGACGTTTCCGTCTTGCGAAGCAAGCCCATAGGGAAAATCGTCTTGCGAAGCAACTCAAAAAACCAAAAACCCTTTCGTCTTGCGAGTTTTCTGTCTTGCGAGGCATTCGTCTTGCGAGGTACCACTGTATAAATTTATAAATGCGATAAGTGTATAGACACTTAAAACTTTAAGATAAACTATCACAGAGAGATGACCCAGAGTTACCCATGGAACTGAGTTTGGGGATTTTCTTAACCAACTAGTTTGGGTTGGGGGATGGTCTGCGCCTACAGATCTGTACACAGAATCTGGCGACCATCTGGGTCGTCTTATGATCTTTGCCTAACAGGAAAAGGTCAAATTTTTGCTTTTCCGTGAGGTCAGTGAGCCTCACCAGCAGGGGATCAATGGTCTCACTACGTGCCTCTTCATAAAAGGGACATCTAAAGAACAAGTGCTCTGAGCTTCCTGTATCCCCCAATGAACAGGCACAAAGTCTCTGAGCATATGGGACTTGTTTAAAGGATCCTTCCAGGACCGGCGAGGGCAGTATTGTTTCTATATATTGTGATCTTTTCTGTGAACTGCCCTGAGACCCCCGGGTATAGGGTGGTATATAAATTCAATTAACAACAACAACAACAACAACAACAACAACATTCATTTTCATCCGACATTTCCATTTTATCAGCATTAATTCTGCATCCTCACAATTTGCCAGCGCATTGGGGGCATGGCTAGCTAAACACTTTTTGCCCTCACTTGCCCAGACTCAATGCCCAAAGGAAGCTTACATGGCGTACTAGTTGAGTCAGCAAAGGAGGGCGAGGGATTTGTGTG